AGTTTGAAACCTTAAACATACTTCTCTTATTTTATTGAAGAACGAAAGGTGATCTTGAGTTGTGATTTGTTTCTCACATCGTAGTATTGATACGTTTTACCGTTTCACTCCTTACATTATTAATCATTCCCTGGGCCATTGCACTGGAGACTGGAAACCCTTGATAGAACACACGCGTGACCTCATTTCATTTTTCATTCAGTGGACAGTGACCACCCCGTATTCTACGGTAAGATAAAGGAAATAAGTAAAAGTATCTCTTTATAAAATAGGCCAGGTAGACCTTTTACCATTTTAGTCCCTCGTCGTTGGACTCTTTGCAGCATATCTGCTTCATACTTAAAACAAGGACTCGGCGCTTGAATCCCATATTCCAAATGTGATCACACGAAAGTAGGGTGTAATAATACAAACATTTCGTCATCTAAATACTGGAAAGACCTACAAACAGACCGTAATACCCTGTAACTTTCGCAGAAGCAGCCCTACAGTGACTGGTGGTTTTGAGATCACTGCTTAGTATGACTCCTAAATGTTTATAGTTTCTCACTTTGGGAAGCACGAATCCATACATTGTGTAGTGATACGAACCATCATGGTTATTCAATTGTATCACCACACTCTTGTCACAATTCGCTTCTAGTGGCTACCTGTCCATCCATGCCACTACTGAGCTAAGATCATTCTGTAATAGTATTCTATCTCCATATCTTTGTGTCGTTAGTGAAGAACAGGACGGATGATTTTGCTACAGATGGTAATTCATTTACATAAAGCAAAAAGAGAAGAGGACCGAAGATTGTGCCTTCGGGAACTTCACTTTTTACAGGTACCCAGGAGGAGAGAGCTCCATTACCTTTACCTTTTTCCTCCTGTCATGGAGGAAGTTACTTATCGAATCTATGACTGTATAATGGATTCCAAAACGTTCCAGTTTGAATTTATGACCAGAATGGGAGACCTTATCGAAGGCTTTACTTAAATCTATGAAGATCAAATCTACAGGAATATTCCGATTTTTCGCCGCAGCTCAATCTTCTCTTACAATGAGAATATTTGTCAAACATGATAGGCTTCTCCGAAAACCATGTTGTTCCCTGGAGAAAAGATTATACATTTCAACATAGTTTATAACAGATATCCGTATGATTTTTTGATCAGCTTTACAACTGCACTAGTTAAGCTAACGGGCCTATAGTTACTAACCAAATCTCTACTCCCAGTCTTATATATTATCTCGTCTCTCCAGTCTCTGGGCAGTCTGAACTGCCTCTGGAATATATCAAACAGTATCGCCAAACGTTCGGCAATTACATCTGATATGGCTTGCATAATCCTAGGATGAATATCATCAGGAGCACTGGACTTATCAAGTTTGAGGTGCTAAAGTAGTCTTAAAACAGTACCTTTCTCAATGACTACAGGGTCTATCAACGAGCCGCCACAATCACAGTGAACCTTTTGTTGTTCTTCATTACTGATAGAAAACACTACTGAAATACTCCGATATAGCTTCAGCGTCTTCGGTATCATTTTCTGCCAAGATTAACAGATTTTCTTGTGTAAAAAATGATGGAATCCCATCACTTCTCTGAGTTCGCTTTTTTATACTCAAGAATAACCGTTACGGACTATATCTAGAATCACTGACCAATTATTTTTCATCTGATCATCTAGTCTTACTTTACGGGCATTCCTAATCTTACAATGACTGGATCTGTATTGTTCTAAGCCAGTAGAGATGAACATATTCCAGTAATTCTTCCTTCTAAGAAGTTTCCTGACTGGTTAAGTTATCCATGGTGAACTATTATTCGGTCTACGCGGTACCAGGTATGGTATGAACGAGGACGTAACTAAACTAAACTTACCTTCAAATAGAGACCATGCTTCTTCAACTGATAAGCTAGTATCTACTGATCAATCTGTCTTAGTTCTCCACACATTTGGGAGAGGTTCAACCTGATTGTCACTAGCTCTAAGTGTGAATGATAAAACAGCGTGATCGCTATTCACTAACGGTGGAAGAATATCTAGGTTGGCAATATCCTCAGTTTCATGGGTGATTACCAAGTCCAACAGAAGAGAACCTTGGTTTAAACCCAAACGTGTGGGTTTGGATACATACTGTACCAATGCATGCTCAATCATTGTTATCAGGAACCTATTATCAAAGGAGTTTATAGATCCTTCCGTGGTCATATCAGTTCAGCTAATATCAGGCGCATTAAAGTCCCGTAATATCAAGCATCTGTTATTTGCGCTCCAAAGATGAATATGCTCTGAAATAAAGTCATCAGCTAAGCAGATTGGGCTGCGATAGGTCACATCGAGTATAAATGTAGCACATCCGATAGCCAGCTCACAGCTAATGACTTCCCAAGTCCCACTATCATGGGGTTCGCAAATAGAGGAGCGGATATTTATATTATTGGCTACGTATAAAAGGACGTGACCTTCTTTCCTACATCTGTGTCTATTACTCCTTAGGTAGTGGTATCCGGACGATTCTGGAGTAATGCCGAAGTCATGGACTAACCAAGTTTCTGTCACAGCTACAACGAGTGGCATTAACTTGTCCATTAATTCATCTAGTTCATAGAATTTATTTCGCAGACTACGACAGTTGGCATATAAAACTCCTAGGGAGAACGACCTATCCACACAGCCGTTGGTAGCATTCGCTTCCAAGACCTGACTATCCAAAAACCCTCTGACCGGAAATTTTTCTCGCCGTTTTGTCGACGGATTTCTAGTCCAGCTAGTGCCATCTTTCATTTTATTCTCTCTCCAAGAGACATATCAGGTCTTACTCGGGTGTCGGTATTGTCGTGAGTACGAGCGCTACTTAACAGAAGATCACATTGCTTGTTCGGCCCTAGGATTACCTTGATGAATCTACATGTCCGGGGTTCGACACTGTCTTCGGTCCCCCTACCTATTCCAACCAATTTTATGATCTGAAATCCTTTAGAGTTATCTAGTAAGACGCTATGAATATATACTCTGAGCTTCTCTAAGTCATGCGCGTGTCTAATTTTGGGATCAGGATCGTTTGGTTCCAGCAATTTATTCACGATAATATTCGACGAGATTAAATTCTTTTCATTCACACCAGGGTGGAATTCTCCCTTAATATCAGACTACGGTGAATCAGAATGGGAGTTCACTAATTACTTGCCAACTAACTGTATACTGCCTACAGCTTTTATGTTTTCATTTCGTTTTCTCCGTACTGCAATCCATTTTTCATGACTCAGGACAACCACACAGGGACTATTTTGAACGGTGACAGTATTACCTGGGTCTTCAAGTTCCACTAGAGATGCATGATAATCAATGTAAATATCAAGTGTCACTTCACTCTTTGTTAATTTAATGGAGTTTTAACTTTTCCGTCAATCAAAGTTGAGTGTTTAATGCGTCCCGTAAAATCACATAATGCACTGACACGTTCTTCACTGTCAGTACTCGCGTTGAAAAGAGCAACCACTACCGTCCTTCTTACAGGCCAAAGCTAATAGGCTCACAGCCTCCTGGATTAGCGATGCCTTATTTGTACAACAAAACACGCAAGTCAATACGCGTTAGGCTTCGAGCATACTTTGTTCGCGGTGGGAATTAAACGGGTACACATTTTATGGAACCACATTTTACACTCATCGCACTGCATTCCTTCCTCTAGGAAGGAACAAACAGTTTGGCTGTCCACATTCATAAGTACTTCCAAGCATTGTAATCAGACTAAGAAGGTTTGAAACACAGTATGATCACAATATGAACACAAGTGTCAGCCAATTAGTAAGACAAAGTTTAGATAGATTTCAAACCTTAACCAAATACTTCAAGTTAAAGTAGACCAAGAATGCTTTTGGATGCAACAAGTACACAAAAGCAAGGGTGATCACAACGAGTAAAATAGGCTGCAATTAGACGCAACTCGACTTCGTAAACGACCAGTCAGAATGAGGTGGGAATCATTACATCCGACATCTTTGTAGGCAACGGGGATCGGCTTTCCTTGTTCTGTGTTTTTTTTAGCTATTTCTTTCGTGTGACTACATAATTTATTGTTTCAGTGTGCCAAAATGCCACAGTTATTGTAATATTCTAAATGTTGGCTCAAATTTTCTTAGATTCAGCATTGTTTTCTGAGTTTCTGCTGCTGCTACTCAAGTTGATGTACTTCTTCAGGCCAACTGGATAATCTTATATTATAAAATGCTGACCTGTTTTGTTTTTAGTATTTTTTTCAGATATGGAGAACGGAAGTTAGTTTCTTTTTTTTTTTAGCTAAAATAGATTTTGCTGCCGCATGGTACTCTAACTGACTAGTTATTTAATAAAAAGTACGTTTTAAAATGACAAATTCTGTGATCACATGAACGTTTACATGATCACTCTTATGCTGGGCGATACATTAGGTTTACATAGAAACGTTGAGGATAAATCCACCCATAAGAGATCACCGCCCTTTTTGAAAACGCGCTCGTCAAAATTGAGTCGACAAGAGGCAGGATGTCTTGCCTTTCTCATGTCTTTCAATCAATCCAGATTTTTTGTGGAAGACATACAACACGTGTTAAGGTGTTTCAATGGACTTACTGTATTTATTACTAAAGACTAGGTCTACATACTGAATGCTGGATTGACCTTGGAGCACGGTTTAAATGTGCCTGTAATATGTAATATATATCTCACATTTTGGGTATTGATCACCAAACACTTAGCAAACATATATTAAACTAACAGTATTAGTGGAAAAAAATTTAAAACTAACCTCTTCATGCAAATTCGCTGTGTAAAACTAGTCTTAACACACAGTTGTTTTATTATTGATTTTTCCATTCCAGATATCGTTCAGGCTTTTAGTCTTACGCGTAAAAAGCTATACCAACTCTCTCCGCCCTGCCACTGTTCATATTTCCGGTTGAACAAAGGTTTTTCGACCTAAACAACACAGTTTTATATGGTCATTGGATTCATTCGTGACATGGATTATGAATTACCAAGACAATGACGACACAGAAATAGTCCAAGCTGATGAACAAAAGATGCCTACATGTTTACCAGAAGATGAAAGTCAACGAATAAGCTGTGTGGAGTATATTAAGCAATATGACATCTCACAGGTAAATATAAGAGTTAAATTTAGTATATAAATAGATCAGCGAAGTATCATTCTACTATTTCAAATGGTATATTAGATGCAAATTTATCTGATCCCTTATGCTCCGTGGAGTCTCTATCTCTGTTGAGCTAATTCGTTAACATTAAATTTTTGACGAAAACTGCACAAAGTCTCAGAAAAGATCTTGACCATTTATTTAGAACTTAGGTTGTGTTTTAAATTTTCTAATATACTGTTCGTTGTTTAAGGTGTTATGAAATTCCCTTTCAGATAAATGGCACGATAAAACAGGGACTGTTTCCCTATTACCTAACAATGTATCGATGTTTTAAACTAATTTAATGTTCATCGGAATCTTACAAGTTAATTGAAAATCTGTGACATACTACGAGCAAACGTTTTACAAATAAACACTCAGTCAAGCCGAAAATTTGCATCTGGATTCTCGCAAAGCCTTTAAAATAGCCTTGGAATGAGTACTAGATGAAACTTTTCTCAGGGATTATATATATGTATATATATGATGTGGGTTTATCAGTACTGTTTAGTATTGCTATTTCAATGATCTTGTGACTACAGTTTAAAATTCTGATGGCATATTTATGTCTATTCCACTAAAGTATTACCATCAAAACATGAGTTTTTTGGAAGCTGTCTTGGAATTTGTAGATTTTTTGGCGAAACTAAATTATGGATGACCTTTGAGCGGTACCAAAGGACTCTGCAGATATTCACCTACATGCTAGGACTGAATGAAAGTCATGAATTAGTGTAAGGTGTTAAGATTAGAGCTTAAAGTAGGCCGTTAGGTTTAGGAGTTTTCATCACGAACTGACATCAGCTATAGTCTCAAAATGCTATTTAGACGTATGGATAAACGAATTTCGCGCCAAAAATCAAAACTATATTGTTTGTGATTGGTTCGTCTATAAACTAAAGTCTCGGCAATTTTTAAAGTTCTTAGGAATCAGTCGGTACCGTGACTCGAAGCCATACTTAGCCTAGATGGATCCATACTTTACGTAGTCCTACCACTTATTGTAGAGTAATCATAGGTTTATGCTTTTACATCCATGTTATTTGTTACGAAATTATGACATTTCAAGTTAGTGACCTAATAAAAGACATTGACAACGTGACGAATAAAAAGTTCGAATGTTTACCATTGTCAGTCAGTCATATACGATTTAGGGCCTGACACGGAAGTACATCAAAGCAAGTCGCGTGACGATATGGAATTAGCAAGAATAGCTAAAATGTAGGAATAGTAATAACATCAGTTGTTTCGAGAAAGATCGGTCACCGAACAATATTTTCTCAAATAAGGGTTAAATTTTACGGATAAAATGAACTAAACAATGTCGAAGTAACCTATTTCTAAGATGTCCGATAAGTTCCTCGATTACTGTTTACGATAATCGTACGATCCACAACAAATTTACCTGCACCTGTCACTAAGATCCGTTTTAGGAGTCAATTATTCGATGGACTTTTGCAATACCTTGGTTTCCCCCTAGTTTTCTTCGAATTGTGGGTCAAGGTAGACAGTGATTAGGCATATTTAACTTGTGTTCCAGCCACCTCAGTCAGTGGAAAATCACTGTCTCATAGATCAGTTTGTCATTTCATCTGGCACCATTTGCCTAACTTTAGTTTTGCTCACTCTCTTGCCCCTTGATATGTTTCGGTCTGGGCACCCGAGGAGTATCACAGCCCTCACACAAATCAATGATAACTGCTACTGGCCTTATTGTTATTGTGTGACGTATATGTATTTGATACCATTTCAAATAAATAAATAATAAATGTGAGCAATGCTTTAAAGCCATTTGTGACAAAAAACTTGCAACCTTTTCCTGTCTTCTGTTTGCATAAACCACGTTTTACAGTCATAGAATAAGACTGCTAATGCTGACTAGTATACTCGCCACTTTGTTGACAGTGCGTAAATCCAACTTGTATTCTCTTTGAATCGTGGAACAAGGTTATTACAGTTCGATGAATTTAGGTCATGCGTAATGTTCAATCAGTATCGAATATATCTATTGTCGAATACTAGTGGTCTAAGAGTGGCGGCTTATTTTACATGTCATTTTTCCAGTTATAGAGTGGTACAAGATAGACTGCTGTACGGTACATTCAGTCATTCATGAACAGATGAACATCTTACCAGCGTCACAACTGACAAGTGTACAAAAACCAAGCCCCCTTTCTAAACCCATACAGTAAATTTATCAGATGCTAACTCACTCAGGCTGATGAAACTTCTGAAGTAAATAAAGTCGTAAACACCCTAAACTAATTCATTTCCAATAGGCAATATAGGGGTTAAATTACTCCATTTCTGAAGCAAAATCATATTAACCTAACACTCGGTTATCAATTTAAAAGCAGGTTCGTCGTTATATTCATGTGTTAGTTTTATTTTTGATGGGGCCAGTTTATAGTTTATTGTCATGAGAAAGATAAGACATATAGTACTGTTTTGTTTGTGACTTATCATAACGCTTCACTGTATTTGATAGGTTTTCAATTGTTATTTTTTTCTAATTTTTCAATTACTATACATTTTAGTAAAGGGAAAAGTTTCTGAACCTTAGGTTTGAACCACCTTTAATCTGTTTAGGGAAATATTGATAGTACTCGTAATAAGATAGCTCACTATTTCAAATAAGTTTGCAAACCATTTGCACACAGGCCTAATAATATCATCATCTTTCTAAGAAAAAAAAGCCATGTAGTGGTCCACTTCACAACAGTATTCCTTTTCTGTTTCTATCTGGCTTTAAACTTATAATTTATTAGTTATTACATTACACACCACATTCATTAGTTCTGTTTGGAGATCCATGTGAGAAAATAGATGATATTGTTGCTCATCCACAGATTCTGCAGTGGATTATTTTAAATATGTTACTGAGAATATTTATCTCAACTTGAGTGTTCTTTCTCTGCAATTATATGGTATAGCTGGCTCAAATGTTGGCACACAGTGCTGAGGAGTTCGTACGTCATGTTTGGCTCAGAGGTTGGCAAGTAGTTAATCATCACAGTCTTCCTGCATGGTTGCGTGACAATGATTACATTTACATTATCATCGACCTCAGTTAAACACTTTTTGGGCTTGTTTCAAGTCGATTTTCAGAGTGCATACAGAAACAGGAAATATATGGACACATTTGTTGGGTAAGTTGTACTTATTATGGGGCTATAATTGACATGAACAACCAACTACTCACCGTCACTTGGTATAGACCTGTAAATGATTTGCTAGATTTATGTTTTAAGTTACCTAAACAACGTATCAGAAATTACATTGCTCAACTTCATAAAGTTATTCTGTGAATACCCAGTAATTTCTTTGTTTTGAATATTTTATGGGGATTTTCGCATTACACTTATTTTGATGATTGTCGATAGTAGAGAGTACTTCGCAAAAGACTGAATTTTTTTTAACAAACTTTCCTTGCTAGTTGTTTGCGCTTTATCAGGCCGTATAATTTCATTCAGAATAAAAAGTAAATCCTGAGATAAAAAGTTTTCGATTACTTCTACACCGCTCTTTTAGGTAATAAAAAGTAAATTTATTATTCACTTAGGCGATTTTGGTCATCATCATCTAGTGGATAGTGTTTTAGTTGTTTGAAAATTTGATTACATTGGTAGGGCGTAATAAAAAACTGATTATTTGGTCAACGGAAACTTGGTAATCAAAGACCAGATGGTTGTACTCTCTTGGTTTAAAACAATATCGGAGAACACGAGTTTTGGCTATTGCTGTTACCAATATACTACCTAACATCATGTGACATTCAAACTCGGACTGAAATACGTTCAAATTCAGTGTTTATTAGATTATACTAATGTGAACAAACCTATCACTAGTAAATTAATTACTTGGGATTGAACTATACTGTAGTATGTAAGAAACACATCTTGTCTATAGATGACAGAACAATCATCGTCTTAAACGTACCTAGTTTGGAAAACTGTAGATTGCATGGCAATTGAATTTCAAACTAAGTTACCAAGCCATTACGAGGTAGTAATAATAGCCCACTATATCTACAAAATCTCATTTAGTTTGTGAGAAGAGTTCCCTTCTGCTTCCATTAACATCATAATTGAAAAACTTGGTTTTCTAGAGCTTATTCAAAATTCATACCCGTGGTTCCATGCTGACAGATAACCAGTATCATCCCACTGATAAGTTATTAACACAATTTCACAATTAAGAACCATAAAAACTAGTGATCACAACTCAAAACCTAGGTCCAGACATCGACGGTGTTTAGCAATTGTTTTACTCTATTTAATACACAGAAAGCAAAACGTTCTGAATTGATGGAACAGTTTGAGATTTAGGTATTAAAATTAATCATAAGTCTTCAAAGACGTTTAAAGCTGTGATAAGATTTTATTCAGTCAGTAGAATTTCCGGACGGTATCCTTTTGTTCCATCTACATATACACTTAATACTCATTCTGAAAGCGACCTTGAATTTTTATTTCCCATTCTTTGTAATAAATTCAGACCATAAAGGTAACTAGTTCTTCAGAGACAATGAATTCAAGATATCGATTTACCGTAAACTTATTAGAAAACTGACAAACGATGCCATTGTTAAATATTCGCAGTTGCTTTGTCTCACGATCTGGTCTTAGCATTCTTTGTCCGGTCGAAGTCATTCGCATTTCTGGAGTTTGTTGCTTTAAAAAATCTAGTATAATCAGAGTTATCAAAAACTAGGTCTTGTCAGTGCATTACTATATATCGATACTTACGATTTTCTTTAAAAGTTTCTTACTGCTCGCTAAGAACTAAAATCCACGACAGGTTGTTTGGTTTGGGACCATCACAAGTTCGGTCGTTCTAGATTTGAACATATGCTTATCCTTCCTAGTTTTCAAATGCCCTGATACTGTCGAGGTTGGGGAGAGTCCGCTCTCCCTCTCGAAATGCTCTTATATGGACACGCGTATACAGCCACTGCCTTATTGTGACGGGGGTGTTGTTTACGAAATGGTGAAGACGAAAAGCGATGTCCGGCGCTTTATTCGGGTAGTGAGCACGTAAGGTCTACCTAGGAGAGTTGGAAAACCTTGGTTCCAAACCAATGGTGAACATGACTCCAGGGTTCTGAAGGGGAAAATGTCGTATGAACAAATTATTGGTCACCAGCTACCACGAGACTGCATCTTTTTACATTACTCCACTGCCTCGTGGGTCAGACCTTTAGGTCGATGGCTCCGGGTGTTGCCCCCTAAGAAAATCACCTGCTTCGGTCTGGACACTCGGACAGTATCACAGCCCACTCCAAAATCAAGTGAATTGTGTGGAGCATATGTATTCAGTGCCTCTTTGTATCAATATTTATATGCTCAAATAAATAAAATGGCCTTCCTATTATTGTGGAAGGAGGATACAGCATCATTCATTGCTTCTTCTCGTTCTAGACTTACCAGAACTTTCGATTCAACTAAAAGTCTACAAGTCAGCAGCGATGTTCTGTTCTCTTTGTGTCCAAAGACTGAATCAATTAGTTGCCATAAAGGAAGGTATAGTTGGATTGTTCTTCCAAGTGATTCCCCTCACTCTTTGGTTTTTATCTTATCCCTTCCTTTTAGGCACTTAGGTTTGGTAACCACGGATCCTTTCGATCCGTTGATAATTCCAAGTCTTTGTTACTGTTAATGACGAACAGATCATTTTCATGCTCCTTGACTTATAAAACTTGTTGGAGACCTTTGTCGTTACTACACCACTCAAACCTTACGTTCTTTATTCTCGGGTAATAGCAACTAGAATCTTAGGTAACGTAATAATTGATGGTCTTCAGTGATTTTAACTGCTCTACGTTCAATCTCTTTTCCTAACTAATTGTTTCTCAATGTAGCATGACTATAAAATCCTGTATAAGAACTGGGTATCCGCAATTTAAAACTTTTTTACTCGCATTCAGTTTTAAACTTCTTTCTGGGCAATTGAAAGCATGCTCTAATTATATGTGGTCATTTTTCTGCTTGTCTTAATGTTTATTTTAAACATTGTTTGTTCTAGGGTGTGGGAGCTTTTTTGCCATTACAATATTCATGTTAATTCAGTCAGGAGCTCTACTACAATGGCAAGATAAGCTTGTATTTTCTTCATTCTTTTTTGGTGCTATTGTCTGTCTCGGACTTTCTTGTTTATTTCACACTCTATCTTGTCATTCGAAAAGCATTGGACGGTTGTTTAACAGGTAATTCTCGCGATTTTGATAAGAAATTTACTAAATAGTTCTAGGGATATTCAGATCACAAGATATTACTGTTGTTCAAAATAACCTGTAAACCAAGTTGACGTTATTCATTGTTTTAGGTATCGTACATTAACAAGAAAAGTGTTCATTAAAGTAGGCATAACTGTTTCGTATATTTTTTTCAGTCTTTTTTCGTCATAAGGAAAATCTTCAGAAAGCGGGTCTCAAATTAGACTTTCAGATTGGTACGTTTGGTTATGTCCAGTCGAACATGGAATCAAATAAGAATTATTCATGTTCATATTAGTAGAACAAAAATCAGTACAGTTTTAAATTGGCACATAGTAAACTTAACTGTTCTGCAAAAGAAAGCAAACTACATGGAATACCGTATCGCCGTACGATACCACTCATAGATATTCTTAATAAGTAACATCTGGACCTAGCATGCGTTATTATAATTCTCGTCCTACGCCAATAAAAATGAGACCGCTAACTTAGTGTAGACGCTAACAATTGATACACAATGCAGAATTCATCCTTCTTAAAAACTACTTTAGAACAATCTTCTGGAAAATCAACTAAGTACTCTATACATCTTGAATTATTACAAGTTATTAAAACTTGAAAAAGCCGTTTAATTCTATGTAAAAAATGCAACACCACAATCCATAACTAAGATATTTGTCGCACAAGACTGAGTAATATGTTCATAGTTAATTAGTCATAATTTATAAATGGTATAGAATATCTTACCAGATCAAAGGAATTTTATAATGCAAAGCACAAATACAACGAGTCGCCTGTTCTATCATTGTGGATAGAATGTACAAACTTGTTTCCTAAACATTTGTCCCTTAGTTTCTTAGACCCTTTCCTATGGTTCTTGCTAATATTTATTTTAGTTGGTAGAGGAATTGGTTATTGGTTGTGTAACTGGGATCCCTTTAAATGGATACTCTGAAACGACAGTATTTGGTCAAATCTTTTAAGATCCATTTCACTGCATTAACTTAGTGTGTGTTGTTATGTTTTGAGCAACTTATTCTTTGTCCACTAGCTTATTCACTTCCTTGAAATATATCATAGCACTGTTCATTTTATCGACTCTTACTTATTTACAACTGTTTTTATCAAATTATTTATTATGCTATAGCAGCTATATGAAACCTATATCTTTAAAATGATCAATTCGTACCACCTAGAAAAGACTAACTAGCATACCTACAGTGTCTAACAAGGTTCAGGTTAATCACCTATGGAGTCATAAATTGATAACATTTCTTTTATAAATAAAATACCACATTTTAGGTTTTCTAGACATTTTCGTGTTTTGGCCACTTATTATACTCATATCTCACCAGTATGGCATAAATAATTTATGGTAAGGTTTATATTCTCTTTTTCAGGTTGGACTATACTGGCATAGCGTTTCTAAATTTAGGCTCGTTTGTACCATATTTATATTATTCATTCTACTGCATATTGTGGGCCAAGTTATTTTACATTATTTCGGTTGCCGTTTTGGGGATAGCAGCAGTCGTTGTTTCAATGCATCCATCTTTTACTACACCTCATTATCGTCCTATTCGGGCTGGTGTTTTCATGGGATTAGGTCTTTCAGGAGTTATTCCATGCATTCACACAGTAATATTAGATGGATTCTTCCATTCTGTTATTCAAGGTTCTTTAGGTTGGCTTATTCTTATGGCCGTTTTGTATTTAAGTGGTGCAACCATCTACGCTGTCCGTGTACCGGAAAGACTATTTCCTGGACGTTTTGATATTTGGGTTAGTTTTATCGTATTGTATGTAATTATCTCTTTTTGTTTTTTTCCTGAACAGAACATTAATAGGAACTAAAATACAAGTAACTTCTGGATTTTGAGATTTAAATGTTTTATCTCATAGTGACATGTTTTTCGGCATCATTTTTGTTAAGTATATTATAAACGTCCTGTTGATTGCATGAAAATTCCTTGATGTACGTAATCTACTGTTGTTTTGTGTATATCGTTTTACATAGTATGGACGCTAAATGAATTAGTTCAGAATGTTTCATGTACACACTTAACCAGTAAATGAAATGCAACATTTGCGTACGTCAGACTGAAATACTGTCTATTTCTGATGTCTTAGCCCATCCGACAGACAATAGTGACTAGTTGTCGCAACTGGACTCTGTCAAGTTTATTCTTGACAAATAGCATTTCTAAACATGAAGAGATTCTCTGACCTAGACACACCTCACCACAACATGGACACAAATAGGAATTATTGCTGTTAGTCGTTGCTAGGAGGGGTCAGTGGAAAACTCACTCCTTAATCTCACACTTAAACTCTGACTATGCTGTAGTACGAACATGAAATTTTTACGCCTTACTGGATGTAGGAAAATTACAACTAGAAAACCTCAGAGATTCTTTTGATTCTGTTGTAACGTGTGGACTGGACGGTTAGATGGAGCAGCGTATTTACCGATCGATTCGGTGACACGGTTAACACGTAGCGAACGACCTAGTGCCCTGATTGGTCCCGCTTCCCTGTCTAGCCCAGCCAGTTGAGTCTAGAACGCAAGTCACAGCCTCTGAGTTATGAATCATTATATTTCAGACATACTCTATTTATATACCAAACAAACAAACCACATCGTATCATAAAATAAAAAACAACATTTACACAATATTTGACGAGTGAAATAAACATCGACCAATAGGAAATGTCCATTTAACGTCCAAGGACATCATTCGACTTAACACGATAATTATTGGTACATTCCTCTGCATACCTAACAGATTCCAAGTTTGGCATGTTTATCAGGCTACTGATTGGAAAATCAGTGATTCTCAAAATCAGGAATGAATGAAGTTACCTGTTTGCACTAAGGGTAATTGATTGGAAAATACTTAGATTAGAATGCATCTTACTGATCTGAAAAAGTTCAATCTTGACTATAGAAGGACAGTCACGAAACTTAGACATCTTAAATTTTAAGGGTTGTCTGCTTTTTTATTAAGGCTTTCTAGCGACCATAATAAAATTCATTTAAAACCTAATCCGTTTAAGTAATATAGTTGTCACTACCAAGATTTGACTTTATAACTTCAAATAAGTTGAGTATTCGGTAGGCCATTCTAAATAAAAAATAATATATTTTAAATTTTCTGACGTTTCGTGACTCAATGTGAGTCACTTCTTCAGAGAACAAACAACTAAACTTATGAATTTGAAAATTAGCATCCATCTATATAGATTCATTTTGTTTATTTGAACCACTTTTACAAATTAAACCTGATCAGGAAAATTAGTGTACGGTATCACAAAGCTTTGAATAATGACTAGAGAATAAAATGAATTGCCATCTTCACAAGTCGGTAGTATTTCGACATAGTTGATATACAATATAGGTGTGAATCTCCAAGTTGTTTGATTTCTCGTGTAATTGTATTCTATCATGGATTTCTTATTGAGCAGAAACAAACCACATGCACATATGAGGTTACAAGACAATACTATCCATACATTTATTTTTATTATCTCACTGACCAGGTGTAGCTACACCTAAGTGTGAAGACTAGTGATGCTAATTGGTTACACAAACTGAAGTACATGGAGCGGGTTTAAGCTTCCGGATAGAAGTCCAAAATTTACTACTGAGCCACCATTGTCCACTCATTAGTATTGTAACACTGGGAATAAACCTTACCTTGAGATGTGATTAGAAAAGTTGACTATCTAAGTCATCGGCTTTTTCAGCGTCGTTTAATCACTAAATTCAATAGATTGTTGTATATTCCTTCAATAAATTCAATAGTTCCATAAGTTCATTTTCCAATCTTTAATTCATGTTTATCTGTTTAGTTTCAAAGTCACCAAATATTTCATGTGTTCGCGGTGGTTGCAGCTTTAGTTCACTACCACGGTTTAGTTAAACTTGCCGACTACCGTCTATCTACTGGCGATTGTAAACCTGATGGACTGAATTTCGATTCAAATCGATTAAAAATGTTCGGTCTGGATATATTTCCTAACACATGATTTAATATTTCCACAATATGAAAAAGTTATTATTACAAGTGATTACATACTTGAGATATAAGTATGCCTATTGACTGATCATATATCTTTCATTTGATTTATATGATACCCAATACATACCATCTCGATATTTTCGGATCGAAAGTCTATGATTTTTATTCTTATTAGTGCTTTTCTGAAGACTATCATACTTACTTTATGTTTGTTATCTTTTTCATTTTTATATGTATATTTATATTATTAATGGTCCGTGATTATCTAGTGTGACTCTTCGGAATATTAGGTCTTTGAATAAAAACAACTTTTCACTATCACGTTATCTTTCGTAATTGTCATTTTCAACATGGTTTAGATTGTTATTTCGAGATTTTACATGGTTTTCTTTAAAATTGATACATCCTTTACTTTGTAATATACATGCATAGTTTTTTTTAGCGCGTATTTACCTCGTGTTCTGTATTGGACTGAGTCAAGCTTTGCTATCAGGATTTACGTCACTCATGTCATCCAGTTGTCTGGATGTTTTGTTTGGAACATCAGTAACACTAAGTATGTACTGTTTTACATACTGCTTCGGGACAGCGAAATAAAACTGACAGATCGAAAAGCAAAGTCGTAATGATAGTAGATTCACTGATAGTAAGACTAAAAGCAGGAAATATAGCTTGACAAGGAAAGAGATAAAATGTATGAATACTCTGCGATAAAACAAATAATGAACTTATCTGTCAGCACGATCGTTCAGGACCAACTCGAGAAAACCAAACCTATGTATATAAGAGTACATCTAGACCCTGTTCATTTTGGTCTGTAACAGATCTTTAAACCCCTTTCCCTTTGTATGTACCACATTCGTATGATTTGACGATATTGATTATAGCTCACCACCTTACAGTGATTTTTCTTAATCCCTTAATGACATTTCAGCTCTACACATTTTATATTTATGTTGCATTCTATGTAAAAGCATACTACTGTCAGACAGTTATCACTGATAAATTCAATATATCTATGAAACCCTCAACCTTTGTATTAATGTACCAGCCAGGTTGACTTAATTTCTATTTGAATTATTATGTATTTACGAGGATCATCAGCTCAGGACCTAATGTAGACAATCAATAAAACTACTGTGTTATTCTGAACTCATTAATCAGGTCTAAGGTTTGTTTTTTTCGCATGAGCTCCATTAATACGAAATGCATGGGGTGGCATGTGAACCTGTGACTCCAAACGATGAAGAGCTTTATTCTAGAAATTGCCGCTCCTCTAATTACATTATCATTTCCTAAGTTACAGTCTAGGAAAGCTGTCACACTTAAAAACTCACCAACCTGATTAGACCAGTCAATTGTCCCACTAAAGACATCAACCTGGAGGAAGACAATGTATACAAGATAGTTGTTAAGTATCAGGAATCGGATCGCAATTCACTTGAAAAAATCAGTCTAAATAAAAAAGATAAGTCCTGAAAGTATGATGTAGTATTATCCAAAGTCTGAATAGTCCCGTTATTACTTATTAGTCCTAAAGATGTAAATACACAAAGGAAGTTGTTATAGCTCGACGCGAATAAAAGCACATCACTGCATTATTCAAGTGATAACATTTACCGTCAATATATATATATTGATATACCTGAGGAAAACTGGTAATTACAATAGGAAAACTTAAATTCTCACGACGTACGGAAGAAGACAACGACTGATAACACATTGACAGTCTTACTTAAACCCCGTAAAGAAGACAAATTATAGACCAATTACACTCATTTTTACAGACTTCACTGGCCTGCGATAATTAGTGAATGAAAATAATAAAAAATAGATTTTACACTGAATATAAACAAACGAGTGCTGTATGTTATATTAAATGAGTAACACACCAAACTGATACAAGAGAATATTATACTGAACGGATATCACACTAAATACAATCTGGAGTTCCCTACTATTCTAACATATATTTAGTCTTTCAAATTGTTTCGTAATGCAACAATAATTTATACCATTTCAGATAAAAAACCGATTAGCGGCATTAACTGAAAGAAAGAGGTGAACACGTAAATACAAAAAATAGATTCTAAAATGCGAAGTTCCATGTAATATGAGTGACATAAACTGAAAGAAGACTGTACAATTTATACATACTTACCGTTAGTAAACAGAAAATAATTTGTGAAAATTGCTTAACACATAAAACCAACCATACAGAAGCTTATCATAGTTCACTATTGTGGAACAGGAAAACGTTCTGTAAATTAACTGTTAGTAAAAATAGTTGTGGTAGTTAAATGTACACCTGTTTTTCTCAGGTTCACATTAAAGTACTGATATGTAAAAAAACTAGTATCCTGAGTACAATGAGCACAGATATATTCATTTATTACTAAAGAACTAAATGTCCCCCCCACAAAAACTATTAAGTTAAAATAGGTTCTTTAAAACAAAGAAAACAAAATTCATAATTTTAAAATCTGAAGTCTTAAAATTAGAGGAAAATTAACTGATCTAGATAGAGACTGTTTTGTTTTACTTTACATCTCTGTATGTTTTAGAAAAACAGATCAGGTTAATGATAATTAAACATTCTTGCCAGTTGTTCAGGTATCTTAGCTAATTCATTAATGTTCATTTTGTAACATACGTATGCATATCACAATAGCTTGTCGAGAAACAGCGCAACTAATGGTAGCAATAAGAAAAAAAAACATGCAATAACAATTATTTGACGAGTTCTATTCTCCCTTAAGATTGCCTTCTTTACCATTCGACTGATATGTATTAGCGTTTGTTAAGCTTCGACATTGATCTGCATTTTTTTACTCAAGGGTTATTAATAACATGTAATATATGCGAGGGTATACTGAAATTTTCCTTGGTAAGAATCTCATCCGATGGACGACAATCACCTTCTGATAATCTATAGGTAGAAAGTTGAACTACTCCATGATAGTGAACAAACGCTGCAGCAATGACGAATACATGGAAAATTTGATGACTTTGGAACTTGTAAACAAGAAATAGCAAAACAAATTATTGAATATTTTGATTTTAAAATTACACTCGAACAGTAAGTGTCGAATGATTATCAAAAGCTTATAAATAAAATGCGGACGTTGTCATTGGCACAAACACGAGTATGAGTCTAACTCTCACAATGATTCCCATTACAATTATTTCGATTCCTTTACTATTCTCATCGTCTTGCAGTGCTTTAGTATGGACATTTGGGCTAATTTACATATGTACTAGACTTTACGTTGACTATGACTGATTGATGTGAACAAAAAGACATTTTTTTCAACGATTAGAGTAATCTACGTTAAACAAATTTAAAACGAGCTCCAAATGCATATTACATATACCAACTTTAAAATGGGGTTATGACAAGCATCCGAAACCTTTTTTAGTTGTTAGTGAACGTTAACAAATTTGTGTTATGCATAATAAACTCACTGGAAATCGCCGCAAACCAGAACGACCAGTGAAAAGCAAGGAAGACGAGGTAATCACTAATATTGAAGAACAACGAAACAGGTGGGTAAAACACTTCGAAGAACTCTTGAATCGACCGGCCCCATTGAACCCACCCAACATCGAAGCAGCACCCATGGACCTCCCAATCAATGTTGGCCCACCAACAATCGAAGAAATCAGCATGGCCATCAGACAAATCAAGAGTGGCAAAGCAGCAGGACCAGACAAAATTCCAGCAGAGACACTAAAAGCAGACGTAGCAGTAACTGCAAGGATACTCCACATTCTCTTCAATAAGATTTGGCATGAGGAACAAGCATCAACAGACTGGAAAGAAGGACTTCTGATCAAAATACCGAAGAAAGGCGATCTCAGCAACTGTGATAACTACAGGGGCATCACTCTTCTCTCAGTACTGGGAAAAGTCTTCAACAGGGTATTGTTAAACAGGATGAAGGACTGCGTAGACGCCCAACTTCGTGACCAACAGGCAGGATTCCGTAGGGATAGATCGTGTACAGACCAAATCGCAACTCTACGGATCATTGTGGAACAATCGGTTGAATGGAATTCATCACTCTGCATCATCTTCATTGACTACGAAAAGGCATTTGATAGCGTGGACAGAACAACACTATGGAAACTTCTTCGACACTACGGCGTGTATCAGAAGATAGTCAATATCATACAGAGTTCATATGATGGATTGCACTGCAAAATTGTGCATGGAGGACAATTGACAAAGTCGTTCGAAGTGGAGACCGGTGTTAGGCAAGGTTGCTTACTCTCACCCTTCCTCTTTCTCCTGGTGATCGACTGGATCATGAAGACGTCAACATCTGAAGGGAAACACGGTATACAGTGGACATCTAAGATGTAGTTGGATGATCTAGACTTCGCAGATGATCTGGTTCTTCTATCGCAAACGCAACAACAAATGCAGGAGAAGACGACAGTGTAGCAGCAGTAGGTCTCAATATACACAAAGGGAAAAGCAAGATTCTCTGATACAACACAGCATGGACCAATCCAGTCACAATTGACGGAGAAGATTTAGATGTAAAAACCTTTACATATCTGGGCAGCATCATTGATGAACAGGGTGGATCTGATGCAGATGTTAAGGCGCGGATCGGCAAAGCAAGAGCAGCATATTTACAACTGAGGAACACCTGGAACTCAAAGCAACTGTCAACCAACACCAAGGTCAGGATTTTCAATACAAATGTCAAGACAATTCTACTGTATGGAACAGAAACCTGGAGAACTACGAAAGCCATCATCCAGAAAATACAAGTGTTTACTAACAGTTGTCTACGCAAAATACGTCGGATCCGTTGGCCAGACACTATTAGCAACAACTAATGTGGGAGAGAACAAACCAGATTCCAGCAGAGGAAGAAATCAGGAAGAAGCGCTGGAAGTGGATAGGACACACATTGAGGAAAGCACCCAACTGCGTCACAAGACAAGCCCTCACATGGAATCCTGAAGGCCAAAGGAGAAGAGGAAGACCAAAGA